TCCATGGCGAGTGAGCCTTGCCAGTAATATCCGCCGGAGGGAGGCAGAAATCGACCACTTTTCGGAGCCGCCGCGTTTCCCCCCCCCCCCCCCCGCAGCCGGGCGGCCCTCTCCACGGGTGGGGGCGCACTCCTGCCAGCGAGAGAGGGAGAGAGAGAGACACCGAGAGGCAGAGAGCCGAGGGGTGGGGGCGGTGCTCGGTGGCCGGCCTCCGCGCGGCGGCCCAAGCCCCGGCGCCGGCACATCCATGGGCACCTCGGCTCGTCTCCTGGGCAATGCCCCGGAATGCCAGACGCGGTTCTCACATGGTACTCTGGCACCACATGACCACTTCCAATGCCCGGCTTAACCGACACGCATCGCGCCGGTCCGGGCGGCCCGCCCCCTACGAGGGATCACGGGCCGTGCCGTCGATTTCCCGCGTATTTCAAAATTCGCCGCCCTTTCCCGGCCGTATCCCCCCGCCCGCCGGCGCGAAGGGCAGCACGCGCAATTGTAAGCTGCGTGTGCTTGCGCGTTTGCCTCCCGGCCCCCCTCTGCCGTGTGTCCCTCACGCCCGGGGTGTGGAAGCCGATGCCAGAAAGGAGCACGCACACGCGCGCGGACATGCGTGCGCGCGTCTGCACGTTCCAATGTGTGCCGACCGGTGGGCATCCTCCTGCCTCGCCCGCCCGGTTGCTCCATGTCCCACGCGACCTCCGCCGCCGGCCGCCCGGCAAAGGATGCCGGGGCTGGCGCTTGGTTGCATGCACTGGCGTGCCAGTGGGCCAGGAGGAGCTCCGCCTGGGGTGCACAGGCCGTCACTCGCGCCTCGGCTGCCACCACGTTCGCCCGGTCGTGGAGAGGGCCGACTCGCTCGGCTTTGACTGGGGGCCGGGCCGGGCCGGGCCGGCGGCCGCGGGAAATGGAAGCACCCGCATACAGGGGATCGCCTTGCCCCTGATTGTGGCTCTCGCGCCGGGACCCAGTGAGGCAGAGTGCACCTTGCCGATCCCCCCCCCCCCCCCCTGCATGGAGAGATTGCGTGTTGTGCCTCCGTGGCTCTTCTCCCCGGGGGGAGGGGGGGACTTCCCTCATCTCCTTCTCTCGGTCGTGTAGATGTTACATAAATATGTGGCTGTGTATTGGGGGAGAAAGGGGGGGGGGGCGGGCCGTGCGCGCACTGGGCCGGTGATGGTGAGATCGCCGATCGCACGGGGCCCACTCGACTTCCTCCCACACGCCCTCTCTGCGCGCGCACACTGGAGGGGAGGAGAGAACGGGGGCACACACGCGCACATGTGTGTGTGTGTGTGTGTGCCCATGTCACTCGCCCATCCTCTCCCCAGCGCGGCAGGGGG